TCTCCACTATCCCACACTATCTCCCACACTATCTCTCCACTATCCACACTCTCACACACTATGTCTCCACACTATCTCTCCACTATCTCTCCCACACTATCTCACACTATCTCCCACACTATCTGTCTATTATCACTGTCCCACACTATCTCTCCACTATCCCACACTATCTCTCCACTATCTCTCCACTGTCCCACACTATCTCTCCACTCTCCCACACCATCACACACACTATCTCTCCACTATCTCTCCACTCTCCCACACTATCTCTCCCACACTATCTCTCCACACTATCTCACACTATCACTCTATCTCTCCACTATCTCTCCCACACTCCCACACTATCTCTCCACACTATCTCCACACTATCTTTATCACACTATCTCACACACTATCTCTCCACTATCTCTCCACTCTCCCACACTATCTCGCACACTATCTCTCCAGTCTCACACTATCTCCCACACTATCTCTCCACCCTTTCCACTCTCCCACACTATCTTTCCACTATCTCTCCCCACTATCTCCACACTATCTCACACACTATCACTAGTGTGGGAGAGTGAAGTGGAGAGATAGTGGAGAGAGATGGAGTGGAGAGATAGTGTAGAGATAGTGTGGAGATAGTGTGGGAGATAGTGGAGAGATAGTGTGGGACAGTGGAGAGATAGTGTGGGAGAGTGTGATAGTGTGGGAGGGTGGAGAGATAGTGTGGGAGAGTGGAGAGATAGTGTGTGATAGTGGAGAGATAGTGGAGAGATAGTGTGGGTGTGTGGAGAGATAGTGTGGGAGAGATAGTGTTGGAGAGTGGAGAGATAGTGTGGGAGAGTGGAGGGATAGTGTGGGATAGTGGAGAGATAGAGTGGAGATAGTGTGGGAGAGATAGTGTGTGGAGAGATAGTGTGAAATAGTGTGGGATAGTGTGGGATAGTGGAGAGATAGTGGTGGTGAGATAGTGTGTGTGAGATAGTGGAGATAGTGTGGAGAGTGTGATAGTGGAGAGATAGTGTGGGATAGTGTGGGATAGTGTGAGATAGTGTGAGATAGTGAGGGAGAGATAGTGTGGGATAGTGTGGGAGTGTGGGAGAGATAGTGTGGGAGAGTGGAGAGATAGTGTGGGATAGTGGAGAGATAGTGGAGAGATAGTGGAGAGATAGTGTGGAGAGAGATAGTGGAGAGATAGTGTGGGAGAGATAGTGGAGAGATTGTGTATGATAGTGGAGAGACAGTGTGGGAGAGTGGAGAAATAGTGTGGGAGAGTGGAGAGATAGTGTAGGAGAGTGGAGAGATAGTGTGGGAGAGATAGTGGAGAGATAGTGTGAGATAGTGTGGGAGAGGTGAGTGATAGTGTGGGATAGTGTGGAAGAGTGAAGAGATAGTGTGGGATGGTGGAGAGATAGTTTGGGAGAGTGGAGAGATAGAATGGGAGAGATAGTGTGGGAGAGTGGAGAGATAGTGTGGGAGAGTGGAGAGATGGTGTGGGAGATAGTGTGGAAGAGTGGAGATAGTGGAGAGAAAGTGTGGGATAGTGGAGAGATAGTGTGGAGATAGTGGAGATAGTGTGTGGAGAGTGGCGAGACAGTGGAGAGATAGTATGGGATAGTGGAGAGATAGTGTGGGAGAGATAGTGTGGGATAGTGTGTGAGATAGTGTGATAGTGTGGGAGAGTGGAGAAATAGTGTGGGAGAGATAGTGGAGAGATAGTGGAGAGATAGTGTGGGAGAGTGGAGAGATAGTGGAGAGATAGTGTGAGATAGTGGAGAGATAGTGTAGGAGAGATGGTGTGGGATAGTGGAGAGATAGTGTGGGATAGTGGAGAGATAGTGGAGAGATAGTGTGTGAGATAGATGAGAGATAGTGTGGGAGAGTGGAGAGATAGTGTGGGAGATAGTGGAGAGACAGTGTGGGAGAGTGGAGAGATCGTGGAGAGATAGTGTGGGTGAGTGGAGAGATGGTGTGGGAGAGTGGAGAGATAGTGTGGGAGAGAGAGTGTGGGAGAGTGGAAAGATAGTGTGGGAGAGTGGAGAGATAGTGTGGAGAGATAGTGCGATAGTGTGTGTGATAGTGTGAGAGTGTGGGACAGTATGAGATAGTGTGATAGTGTGTGGAGAGATAGTGTGGGAGAGATAGTGTGGGAGAGTAGAGATGGTGTGGAGAGATAGTGTGGGAGAGTGGAGAGATAGTGTGGGATAGTGGAGAGTGGAGAGATAGTGTGAGATAGTGGAGAGATAGTGGAGAGATTGTGTGGGATTGTGATAGTGGAGAGATACTGGAGAGATAGTACACACACTATCTCACACACAATCTCTCACACTATCTCTCCACTATCACACTATCCCACACTCTCCCACACTATCTCTCCACTATCTCTCCACTATCCCACACTATCTCCACACACCCACACTATCACACTATCCCACACTATCTCTCACACTATCCACACCATCTCTCCACTATCCCACACTATCTCCCACACTATCTCTCCACTATCCACACTCTCACACACTATGTCTCCACACTATCTCTCCACTATCTCTCCTACACTATCTCCCACACAATCTGTCTATTATCACTGTCCCACACTATCTCTCCACTATCCCACACTATCTCTCCACTATCTCTCTACTGTCCCACACTATCTCTCAACACTATCTCACACTATCACTCTATCTCTCCACTATCTCTCCCACACTCCCACACTATCTCTCCACACTATCTCCACACTATCTCTATCACACTATCTCACACACTATCTCTCCACTATCTCTCCACTCTCCCACACTATCTCGCACACTATCTCTCCAGTCTCACACTATCTCCCACACTATCTCTCCACCCTTTCCACTCTCCCACACTATCTTTCCACTATCTCTCCCCACTATCTCCACACTGTTGGTGCAACCCTATGGCTTGCACTCGGCTTGTCGTCCGTGTTTGTGTGTGTGCATGCATGGCATGGAATGACTTGTGAGTCTATGTCATTGCTATCTAGTGCTTGTGTGTGTGTTTGAATGGTGTCTCACAATGTGGTGTGTGTCGGTCAAGACATTAGTGAGTTTTTACAACTCGCATGTCAAGTCGTCGTTTGCGTGTCGCATGTGTTTTTCTATTTTGTCAAGTGTGAAGTGTCCATCGCGTCGCAGGTGTGTGCAGCAAGCCCCCATCAACTCAAGAAGAATATATCTTGAAGAACCAAGACCAAGAGCTCAAGATTTCAAGCCCAAGGGACGCGGATAAATATTAAATAGTGAATATAGTAACGCTACTTCGTGTAGTGTTACATTTCACTTGGTGTAGCCCCTTGGAGGGTTTGTTTTGAGACTCTTCGTGGTTGGGGACTCTGTGGTGGTGTACCACCAACCTGGACCTCGGCTCTAGGGGTATGTAGAGGCTGGGAACCATCTCCCTCTCCAATTCTTCTTCCTAAGTTTTTGTACTCCTAAGACTATAGTGGCTGCTGTACCTCCTGCCAGTCAAACCGCCATAGCGTCGTCAAATCTTCATGGCATTTTATGATTCAACTTGCTGCTGATAGGCGACATCAACGCGCTCCAGATCCAATTTACAGATCACCGTTTGAGGCACACATCAGATCGGCATCAATATTTGAATCTGACTGACGGAATTCTGACTGTGCACATTTTCTCTCATTTTAGGCACATCTGAGCCTATTGTGATTATAACAAGTGGTATCAGAGCCCCTTGGAGCTGTCTCGACCATGCCTAGACCTGAGGAAGGGGGTGGCAGAGGTGCTGGAGGCAGAGAAGACGCCCAAGCACAAGGTCAACACCAAGATCCACCCATGGCTCCCGTGCAACCTAGCCTTGGCCCCTCTAGGGATGAGCCTAGAGTGTTTGGCCTTGACAAGTTCAACGGTGACAACTTTGCTGAGTGGTCCTTCAAGATGGAGAACATCTTTGACCACTATGATCTGCTGGAGGTGATGGAAGGAACGGAGAAGCGCCCCGAGAACGACCCGGAGAAGAGCCCGTGGGTGCGGAAGAGCGCACAAGGCTATCTTCTACTTGGGCAAGCGTTGGGGAGCAGCCAAATCCGTCACATCAAGCCTTTTCAGCGTGAACCAGCAAAGGGACCAAAGGCATGGGCTGCTCTCAAGGGTGTACACGCTCCTGCAACAGCGGCGGTGGCTGTGGTTTTGGAGCGGCAAATGGCGGCCCTTCGAATTGACGAAGGCGAACCGGTGGAGGACGGAGTGCAGAAATTCTTCGACTTGTTGACACGGCTTGAAGGAGCTGACCTGAACTACAGTGACCTTCAAAAGAAGACCAAGCTGCTGGCCTTGCTTCCGGACTCATGGTCCTCGCTCATCATCAACCTAAATCGAGATCTGCCCCGCCTCTCGCTCGATGATGTGAAGCGGGAAATCTTACAAGAAGATTTCCGTCGTCGTGAATTGGCGGGTACCGATGGTGCCGGAGTTGCAAGCATGGGCCGTGGGCACGGCCGTGGAAGGGGCAGAGGGCGAGGAGGAAGATTTGGCAGCAGTAACTTCAATGGAGGCCGTGGTAATGGAGGATATGGCAGCAACAACAACAACAATGGCTACGGGCGTGGGCGCGGTCGATTTGATGGCGAATGCCACTTTTGCCACAAGACCGGCCACATGTGGAGAGATTGCTTCAGATTGCCTGATGGATGGACCCCTTCTCAAGGCCAAGAGGGAAGAGGAGCAAGGGGAGGAAGAGGCAGAGGTCGTGGAGGCCGTGGTGGTCGTGGAAGCGAAGCGGCAAGCATGAAAGTTGGAGACTACGACAAGGACTCGAGTGAAGATCGATACCCGGGCCAATTCTTCTTTGTCTCCACGCAAGCGGCAGCTGCAGCAGGAGGTGTGGAAGGCTTTGAGGAGCCAGCTACTGTGGGAAAGGTCACCCTTCACTCTCTGGACTTTTGGGTGATCGATAGCGGCGCCACCTATAGCATGACACCTCGTGCGGACTTGCTCACCGAACTCGAACCGTCGCCGGTCAAGCATGTCACATCGGCTTTGGGGCAGCGAGCAGAGGTGAAAGGCATGGGCAAGGCCATGTTCAAGGGTGCTGATGGGAAGATGGTGGGCCTCAAGAACGTGCTTTGGGTGCCCAACCTTGCAGCCAACCTGATTTCTGTGCGGCGTTTGCAAAAGGCCGGCATGGACACATCTTCCAAGGGATCCAAAACCTATACCGCGCGGCTTGGTGAGCGGAAGCTTTGGGACCTTCATGAGGACAGGGACATCTACAATGAAATGTGGCAAATCCCAGTGGTCCCCATGCCTAAGGAGAGGCAAGTGGCAGCAAGCATCAGCACCAAGAGTGAAGCGGTTGGTGGCGGTGATCACGGAAAGCAAAGTGACACCAAGAGTGACTCGAACGAGTGCAATCTTGGAGAGACCAGCAAGGCATGTGAATCCAAGGAGAGTGGTGCAGCAGCCAAAGGTGGTGGAAATGAGGAGGAGAATCATAAGATCAGCAAAGCAGCAGCGGCGAAGGAGAAAGGACAGAGCTTGTGGGGCACAATTGCGAGTGCCGCTTTCTCCAACCCGACCTCCGCTACGGGAGAGTGTGATTGGCTGACCTTGCATCAGCTAATGGGGCATGTGGCATTGCCCATTTTGCAGCAGATTGTTAAGCAAGAGATGGTCAGTGGGATACGTGTCAAGGGGGAGCCCAATGAGGTGCTTGGCTGTCCAACATGCATGCAAGCCAAGTTCACCCGCTACCCGTTCCATAGCTCGGAGACAACGGCGAAGGCACCACTTGATGAGGTGGTGATGGATGTGGTGAGCCCCTTGAAGCTTGGAGCTGCTGGAGCTGAGTACTTCCTCACCATTGTGGACGTCTACACTCGCATGACTTGGGTATATGTGCTGCCCAAGAAGAGTGACGTGGCTGAAACGGTGAAGACCGATTGGTTGCCGATGGTGGAGCGGCAACAAGACCGGCTTGTGAAGGCGATTCGCACTGACCGTGGGGGAGAGTTCCTGAGCAAGGACTTCTCACCTTGGCTGAAGAAGCAGGGCATAAGGCACTCTCTTACCATGCCCTACTCTCCTGCAATGAACGGCATTGCCGAGCGTGCGAATCGGACACTCACGGAGACGGCTCGGGGACTTCTCATTGAAGCCGGTCTACCCAATTACTTTTGGCCGGATGCGGTGCGGCATGCTTGTGTGGCCAAGAACAGAGCCTTGACTCACGTGGGAGAAGACAAATGGGTGCCCTATGTGGAGTGGATTGGAAGGAAGCCGAAGGTGGATATGCTTCGGGTGTTCGGGTGCATGTGCATGGCACTTGTGCCTAAGAAACTTCGGCACAACAAGCTTGATGCCAAGGCAACATGGGCCGTGCACTTGGGCATGGCTCAAAACAGCAAGGGATGGCTTCTTTGGGACCCATTTACCAAGAAGTTCCTGGTGAGCAGAGATTGCAAGTTCATGGAGAACTTACCGTACAAGGAGTGGAAGGCGGAGAACCAAGCGAAGATTGGTGTGCGGCTTGGAGAGGTGAAGAGTACCGGCTTGGAGCATGTGGAGCTGCCCTTGGAGCTGAGTAGCAGCAGCACTATCACAAGGCAATCTCCTCAAATGAATGGGGGAGAAGAGGAGGAGGAGGTGCAGCAAGGTGATGAGCGTACACCGTCACTTCCGCCTCGTGCTACAAGTGCTCGCGGGAACCGAGCAGATTTGCAGCAACGCCATGAGAGCATCCAAGTCCCTGCAGTAGAAGAGGAAGGAAGGGGGAGAAGGAAGACTCAGCCCCCCAATAGGTTGAGCTATGAACGGCTTGGAGGAGCAGCCAACTCAACCTTGACCGGTTCGGCTCTCATGCTAGGCGATGAAGCGGAAGATGAAAGCGAGGAGTGCGCTTTTGCCTTCTTCTCTCCGGTGGAGATACCGGGAGAGCCTACAAATCCCAAGGAGGCTTGGGAGGGCCCCAATGGGAAGGAGTGGAAGAAGGCCTCAGATGAAGAGATGGGGAGCATCATCGAGAACGACACGTTTGACTTGGTGAACCTACCTCCGGGGCGTAAGGCGATCTCTTCCAAGTGGCTCTTCAAGCGCAAGACGGACGCCGACGGCAACATTGAGCACTACAAGAGCAGACTTGTAGCCAAGGGGTACCAGCAGCAGGAGAAGAAGGACTACAATGAAGTATATGCTCCTGTGGTGAAGGGTACAACCCTTCGAACCCTCTTCGCCGCGGCGGCCATCAAAGGATGGGTGGTGAAGCAAATGGATATCGTAACGGCCTTCCTCAACGGCGTTTTGGAGGAAGAGACCTACATGGAGCAGCCAGAGGGGTACAATGATGGGAGTGGCAGAGTGTGGAAGTTGAAGAAAGCACTCTATGGCCTCAAGCAAGCCCCTAGGCAATGGTACATCAAGCTGCGGGAAGTCTTGGAGGCGATCGGTTTCACTCCCTCAACGGCCGATCAATCATTGTTCATGCTTGGCGAGGGGGAGCAGAGGAGCTTCATGGTGGTTTATGTGGATGACATCCTCATATTCTCACCCTCCTCTGACCTTGTGAAGGAGGTGATGCTGAAGCTTCAAGACAAGTTCAAGTGCAAGACCCTTGGTGACGTCAACTACTACCTTGGTCTTCACATTGAGCGAGATGTGGAGAAGCGGTGGATGCGAGTGCATCAAAAGAAGTACTTGGAGGCCTTGGCTGCAAACTTTGGGAAGAGTGAAGGTCATGTGGCTACTCCTCTACCCTCAGGGTTCAAGTGTGTGAAAGGACCAGCGGAGGAAAGTGTTGGTGAAGAGGAGAGGCGCCGTTTTCATTCCTTGGTGGGCAGCCTCATGTATGCGGTCGTTCACACAAGGCCGGATGCAGCCTTTGCTACCGGGCAGCTAGCTAGGGTTGTCCAATGCCCTTATGAAGAGCAGGTAGCAGCTGGAGAGAGGGTGGCCAAGTACCTTGGCCAAACAGCAACTGTTGGACTGCAATACTCCGCGGCGGCACAAAGGCGTCAAAAGGGTGCGGATGGAGTCGAACCCGGGAGGCTCTTTCTCACCGCCTTCTCTGATGCATCTTGGGCATCAGAACCAGAGGACATGACAAGTGTGGGAGGCTTCATCTGCTGTGTTGGTGGAGGACCAACAGCTTGGGAGAGCAAGAAACAAGTGGACCAAGCATTGAGCTCGGTGGAGTCCGAGTACATGGCACTCTTCCGTGCCATAAGAGAGGTTGTGTGGCAGCGGCGTTTGCTAGCTGAATTGGGGGAGGAGCAGCAAGGACCTACCCCCCTCTACTGTGATAGCCAGGGTGCTATTGCATTGGCTAAGAACCCCGTTCTTCATGGCCTTACCAAGCACATGAAGGTGAAGTGGCATTGGGTGAGGAGCATGGTAACCGCGGGTGAAGTGGAGTTGCACTACGTGAAGACGACGGCGCAGCCTGCTGATATGATGACCAAGAGGCTGGTTGAGCAGCAGCATTGGAAGTGTTGCAAGCTTGCTGGGATGGCTCTGAACTAAGGGGAGCAGATTCTAAGGCCAACAATCCGAGGGGGAGTTTGTTGGTGCAACCCTATGGCTTGCACTCGGCTTGTCGTCCGTGTTTGTGTGTGTGCATGCATGGCATGGAATGACTTGTGAGTCTATGTCATTGCTATCTAGTGCTTGTGTGTGTGTTTGAATGGTGTCTCACAATGTGGTGTGTGTCGGTCAAGACATTAGTGAGTTTTTACAACTCGCATGTCAAGTCGTCGTTTGCGTGTCGCATGTGTTTTTCTATTTTGTCAAGTGTGAAGTGTCCATCGTGTCGCAGGTGTGTGCAGCAAGCCCCCATCAACTCAAGAAGAATATATCTTGAAGAACCAAGACCAAGAGCTCAAGATTTCAAGCCCAAGGGACGCGGATAAATATTAAATAGTGAAAATAGTAACGCTACTTCGTGTAGTGTTACATTTCATTTGGTGTAGCCCCTTGGAGGGTTTGTTTTGAGACTCTTCGTGGTTGGGGACTCTGTGGTGGTGTACCACCAACCTGGACCTCGGCTCTAGGGGTATGTAGAGGCTGGGAACCATCTCCCTCTCCAATTCTTCTTCCTAAGTTTTTGTACTCCTAAGACTATAGTGGCTGCTGTACCTCCTGCCAGTCAAACCGCCATAGCGTCGTCAAATCTTCATGGCATTTTATGATTCAACTTGCTGCTGATAGGCGACATCAACGCGCTCCAGATCCAATTTACAGATCACCGTTTGAGGCACACATCAGATCGGCATCAATATTTGAATCTGGCTGACGGAATTCTGACTGTGCACATTTTCTCTCATTTTAGGCACATCTGAGCCTATTGTGATTATAACACACACTATCTCACACACTATCACTAGTGTGGGAGAGTGAAGTGGAGAGATAGTGGAGAGAGATGGAGTGGAGAGATAGTGTAGAGATAGTGTGGAGATAGTGTGGGAGATAGTGGAGAGATAGTGTGGGACAGTGGAGAGATAGTGTGGGAGAGTGTGATAGTGTGGGAGGGTGGAGAGATGGTGTGGGAGAGTGGAGAGATAGTGTGTGATAGTGGAGAGATAGTGGAGAGATAGTGTGGGTGTGTGGAGAGATAGTGTGGGAGAGATAGTGTTGGAGAGTGGAGAGATAGTGTGGGAGAGTGGAGGGATAGTGTGGGATAGTGGAGAGATAGAGTGGAGATAGTGTGGGAGAGATAGTGTGTGGAGAGATAGTGTGAAATAGTGTGGGATAGTGTGGGATAGTGGAGAGATAGTGGTGGTGAGATAGTGTGTGTGAGATAGTGGAGATAGTGTGGAGAGTGTGATAGTGGAGAGATAGTGTGGGATAGTGTGGGATAGTGTGAGATAGTGTGAGATAGTGTGTGAGATAGTGTTGGATAGTGTGTGAGATAGTGTGAGATAGTGAGGGAGAGATAGTGTGGGATAGTGTGGGAGTGTGGGAGAGATAGTGTGGGAGAGTGGAGAGATAGTGTGGGATAGTGGAGAGATAGTGGAGAGATAGTGGAGAGATAGTGTGGAGAGAGATAGTGGAGAGATAGTGTGGGAGAGATAGTGGAGAGACTGTGTATGATAGTGGAGAGACAGTGTGGGAGAGTGGAGAAATAGTGTAGGAGAGTGGAGAGATAGTGTGGGAGAGATAGTGGAGAGATAGTGTGAGATAGTGTGGGAGAGTGGAGTGATAGTGTGGGATAGTGTGGGAGAGTGAAGAGATAGTGTGGGATGGTGAAGAGATAGTGTGGGATAGTGGAGAGATAATCTCTCCACTCTCCCACACTATCTCTCCACTCTCCTACACAATCTCTCCACCATCTCTCTAGTCTGTCACACAATCTCTCCACTCCTCCACACTATCTCTTCACTCTCTCACACTATCTCTCCACTCTCCACTATCTCTCCACTCTCCCACACTATCTCTCCACTATCTCTTCACTCTGTCACACTATCTCTCCACTCTCCCACACTATCTATCCACTCTCCCACACTATCTCTCCACTCTCTTACACTATCTCTCCACTCTCCAACACTATCTCTCCACTATCTCTCCACGCTCCCACACTACCTTTCCACTATCTCTCCACTATCTCTCCACTCTCCCACACTATCTCTCCACTCTCCCCCACTATCTCTCCACTCTCCCACACTATCTCTCCACTCTCGCACACTATCTCTCCACTGTCCCACACTATCTCCCCACTATCTCTCCACTCTCCCACACTAACTCTCCACTCTCCAACACTATCTATCCACTCTCCCACACTATCTCTCCACTCTCACACACTATCTCTCCACTCTCACCCACTCTATCTCTCCACTCTCCCACACTATCTCTCCACTATCTCTCCACTATCTCTCCACTCTGTCACACTCTCTCTCCACTATCTCTCCACTCTCCCACACTATCACTCCACTCATCCACACTATCTCTCCACCCTCCCATACTATCTCTCCACTCTCCCACACTATCTCTCCACTATCTCTCAACTCTCTCACACTATCTCTCCACTCTCCCACACTATCTCTCCCATCTCTCACACTATCTCTCCACTCTCCTTCACAATCTCTCCACCATCTCTCTAGTCTGTCACACAATCTCTCCACTCCCCCACACTATCTCTTCACTCTCTCACACTATCTCTCCACTCTCCCAAACTATCTCTCCACTTTTCCAAACGATATATCCACTCTCCCACACTATCACTCCACTCATCCATACTATCTCTCCACTCTCCCACACTATCTCTCCACTATCTCACCACTCTCCTACACTATCTCTCCACTCTCCCACACTTTCTCTCCACTATCTCTCCACTGTTTCTCCACTCTCCCACACTATCTCTCCACTCTCCCACACTATCACTCCACTCATCCACACTCTCTCTCCACCCTCCCACACTATCTCTCCACTCTCCCACACTATCTCGCCACTATCTCTCCACACTGTCACACTATCTCTCCACTCTCTTACACTATCTCTCCACTCTCCAACACTATCTCTCCACTATCTCTCCACGCTCCCAAACTACCTTTCCACTATCTCTCCACTATCTCTCCACTCTCCCACACTATCTCTCCACTCTCCCACACAATCTCTCTACACTCCCACACTATCTCTCCACTCTGTCACACTATCTCTCCACTCTCCCACACTATCTCTCCACTCTCCCACACTATCTCTCCACTATCTCTCCACTATCTCTCCACTCTGTCACACTATCTCTCCACTATCTCTCCACTCTCCCACACTATCACTCCACTCATGCACACTATCTCTCCACCCTCCCACACTATCTCTCCACTCTCCCACACTATCTCTCCACTATCTCTCCACTCTGTCACACTATCTATCCACTCTCCCACACTATCTCTCCACTCTCCTACACAATCTCTCCACCATCTCTCTAGTCTGTCACACAATCTCTCCACTCCTCCACACTATCTCTTCACTCTCTCACACTATCTCTCCACTCTCCCAAACTATCTCTCCACGCTCCCAAACGATATATCCACTCTCCCACACTATCACTCCACTCATCCATACTCTCTTTCCACTCTCCCACACTATCTCTCCACTATCTCACCACTCTCCTACACTATCTCTCCACTCTCCCACACTTTCTCTCCACTATCTCTCCACTATTTCTCCACTCTCCCACACTATCTCTCCACTCTACCACACTATCACTCCACTCATCCACACTCTCTCTCCACCCTCCCACACTATCTCTCCACTCTCCCACACTCTTTCCCACACTATCTCTCCACACTGTCACACTATCTCTCCACTCTCCCACACTATCTCTCCACTCTCCCACACTATCACTCCACTCATTCACACTCTCTCTCCACCCTCCCCGACTATCTCTCCACTCTCCCACACTATCTCGCCACTAACTCTCCACACTGTCACACTATCTCTCCACTCATCCACACTATCTCTCCACTCTCCCACACTATCTCTCCACTATCTCTCCACGCTCCCACACTACCTCTCCACTATCTCTCCACTATCTTTCCACTCTCCCACACTATCTCTCCACTCTCCCACACTATCTCTCCTCTCTCCCACACTGTCTCTCCACTATCTCTCCACTCTCTCACACTACCTCTTCGCTATCTCTCCACTATCTCTCCACTCTCGCACACAATCTCTCCACTATCTCTTCACTCCCCCAACACTATCTGACCACTCTCCCACACTATCTCTCCACTCTCCCACACAATCTCTCCACTTTCCCACACTATCCCTCCACTCTCACACACAATCGCTCCACAATCTTTCCACTATCTCTCCATTAACCCACACAATCTATCCACACTCACACACTCACTTCCATACTATCTCTCTCACTATCTCTCCACTCTCCCACACTATCGCTCCACTATCTCTCCAGTCTCCCACACTATCTCTCCCACACTATCTCTCCACTATCCCACACTATCTCTCCACTCTCCCACACTATCTCTCCACTCTCACACACTATCTCTCCACTCTCCCACACTATCTCTCCACTATCTCTCCACACACCCACACTATCTCTCCACTCTTCCACACTATCTCTCCACACTATCTCCACTATCTCTCCACTATCTCTCCACTCTCACACACTATCTCTCCACTCTCCCATACTATCTCTCCACTCTCCCACACTATCTCTCCACTCTCCCACACTATCTCCCACACTATCTCTCCACTCTCCCACACTATCTCTCCACTATCTCTCCACTATCCCACACAATCTATCCACACTCATACACTCTCTTCCACACTATCTCTCTCACTATCTCTCCACACACCCACACTATCTCTCCACTCTTCCACACTATCTCTCCACACTATCTCCACTATCTCTCCACTATCTCTCCACTCTCACACACTATCTCTCCACTCTCCCATACTATCTCTCCACTCTCCCACACTATCTCTCCACTCTCCCACACTATCTCCCACACTATCTCTCCACTCTCCCACACTATCTCTCCACTATCTCTCCACTATCCCACACAATCTATCCACACTCATACACTCTCTTCCACACTATCTCTCTCACTATCTCTCCACTCTCCCACACTATCTCTCCACTATCTCTCCACTCTCCCACACAATCTCTCCCACACTCTCTCTCCACTATCCCAAACTATCTCTCCACTCTCCCACACTATCTCTCCACTCTCACACACAATCTCTCCACTCTCCCACACTATCTCTCCACTATCTCTCCACACACCCACACGATCTCTCCACTCTCCCACACTATCTCTGCACACTATCTCCACTATCTCTCCACTATCTCTCCACTCTCACACACTATCTCTCCACTCTCCCACACAATCTCTCCACTCTCCCACACTATCTCTCCACTCTCCCACCCTATCTCCCACACTATCTCCCACACTATCTCTCCACTCTCCCACACTATGTCTCCACAATCTCTCCACTATCTCCACTATCTCTCCACTATCTCTCCACTCTCCCACTTTATCTCTCCACTCTCGCACACTATCTCTCCACTGTCCCACACTATCTCCCCACTATCTCTCCAATCTCCCACACTAACTCTCCACTCTCCCACACTATCTCTCCACTCACCCACACAATCTCTCCACACTCCCACACCATCTCTCCACTTCCACACCATCTCTCCACTATCTCACCACTCTGTAACACTATCTCTCCACCATCTCTACACTCTTCCACACTATCTCTCTACTCTCCCACACTATCTCTCCACTCTCCGAAACTATATATCCACTCTCCCACAAAATCACTCCACTCATCCACACTATCTCACCACTCTCCCACACTATC